GAGTTCGGCTCACACGTCGCAGTACATGCGAATGCCGTCAAGCCAGAATTCAAACAGTCAGTCAATCGATCAATCAATTTGACCATGGGCATGCATGAACACAAATCAGTCAATTGTAAGCCACAACAGTGTCCTCCTTTCTAATTTGGTGCACCCTCTGTTAATTATTCAGCAAGCCCTGAGAACAGCTGTCTCAGAGTTCTAAAAGATTCAAGTTTGAAAAGAAGGGATGATCGAGAAACAGAATCCAACGTGGAAGAATAATCAAGAAGAACACAATGGACGGACTTGGCCGAGTTGCTCAGTGACTTATTGATAAAATGGATTAGACTGGATACGGTGTCTAGTGTAAACTGTTGTGTTTATATGCAGACCGAAGGGAATCCTAAGAGATCGCGGTTTTTGGCTACAAGCGACTCAGGATGGCCTTTTTAGTTAGTCTTAGATCCCCTGAGGTCAGCGCGATAGGACAAAACCGTTTCGCAAGAACAGTTGAGGATGAGGATTTGGGGATTGAAATAATGGTAACTTGTCTCCAGGACTCAAGAATCGACCGGGAATATAGGGACTCATTCAGGACGGATGTCATCGTACTGGTTGGGGAAGGAAGCTGCTCCAAATTTCAGAAGTGCCGGGGGAAGACCATCAGGGCCGGCAACTGAAGGTGCTTTGGAGGATCGAAAAAGCCTAAAGATTTTATCATTGGAACAAAGCACTGAACTGAATTCATTGCATGGGAGTGAGGGAATCTGACTCTCATTTGACGGGTGAGTGAAAGTAGCGTTAAGGCTGTTGATCTCCACAGAGGTATTTGACTGTTTTCTGTTCTGCCTACAGAGAAGTCAAATGCCTTGCCACAAAAGCCTGACATTCTTTGTCCGCGTAATTTGGGCGAAGAAGGTTGCATTTAGATGCGTTATCTCAAACCTGATTAAATCAGAATAATGCCTTACAACTGATGCACGACGGGATTTGTAATCCTTTTTTTGTACTTTCTCATTAATTTCAAAAAGGGTGAGGTAATTCTGCCGTTCCAAACAAACAGGGTTTTCATGGGACAACACAAGTTAAAGATCGATTGATTCGTTTCAGCGAACAGACCGACACATTTGACCAAATGTTTTCCGACGATATTTTTGTGCTGAAATGAGGTGGATTGTTGAATCCTTGCGATTCACAAGCGAGTTAGGCTGACTCAAGACGATGAAATGGTAACGCACTGTTTACCGCGAGCCTTAGATAAGGTAAAGCTGGTCAAGGCGGCTCGAACGCTAGCTCAATCATCATAGGTTACCACAATCAGTCCCGTGGATATAAACATACCGTGTTTAATAATCATTACAGGTGAATGAAATACAACCTAGCCGATTTCTTAGATAAGAAGAGACATTTGCGAAGGTAAAATCGAATGCCCGATATCTAAAGAAGCACTACCACATAAAGACTACTCCTCACATGACGTAAGGTTGCAGTGCACAATTGTTTCATATACTCGCAATTAGTAAGACCATTCTGAATGTGCAAGTAATGGTCATTGTGGGAACACAAAGAATTGACTGAGGTGATCCAGCGTCACTATTTCAAAACTATTCAAAAAGGCAGCTGCTTTCTTTACATCAAAAAGAAAAAAACAACGCAACTGATCAAAGCTTGATTCTAGACAAAACTATTAAGCCCAAATATCCCGTGGTTATACATCGATAGAAAATAACTTCAGGGCTGTGCTAATGAAATGGGTGCTTGAAAATTAGAGCACGCAATGCCTATCTCAACGATCGTTTAGAGCTTACCACGTTCAAATGTTTTATTTCTTTTCATTTGACTCACAGTGACTTGTGAGTAGTGTATTGTGGGATAATTATCCCACCTACTACTCACAATTAACTGTGAGTGGAATGCAAAGATCAACCCGGCCTGGTAGGCATGTGGCAAGTCAGCCCGTGACCGGCATGGAAGTTATGACTTGATGGGAGGCTTTCAATTGGAGTCAATAGGTTGTCATCTGTGACTCCCTTCGTTGCTGTCGGGCCAAATTAACTGACTGACTATCACTGAAGATAACAACTGAACAAACATGAATTGACAATTTGGTTTACCTATGACATGAGCTGGTTGGCACAGCGGTAACAAATACGCCTTCCATGAGATGGTCCGGAGTTCAAATCACTACTGATGAGCTCCAATAAGAGCGAAAATCAATTCTAGTGCCTTGGAGTGTGTGGCTGAATCGCTGGACCGAGGATAGTGCGTGAAGGTGAAGTCTGCAGGATAGTCAGTCAAATCAATCAATGTTTCATTTCCTTTTTTTGAAATCGGATTCCCGGTTCACTTATTCTGTAAACCAACAGGTTCATTAGGCATCCTATTGTTTCCCTAGTCCATGTTGTAACAAAATCGTCTCACCTGTCTGAAAGGTCTGTCTACAGGATCCTGTCATTCTGCTCAGTTACATTTAGTTCGTAAACCTGAATGTTTTTCTTGTATCAAACATGTACTGGAATGGTAGTATAACTAGTTCAATAACACAGCTATCAAAATTGTATTGCCCACGAATCCACCGGGTTACTAATAACTAATCAGTTTACAAAAACAGCTCGATGAACACACGAATTGGATTTGCTGCAGGAACCAAATGAAATGATTCTCTAGTAAATAAAGATGATTCGATGGAAATAAACAAAACATAAGTTGTGGATTAGGCTGTTCATGAGTATGTACAAAATCATGTTACGAGCTCGCGATTATTTCACGAGTTAAATGTTGATCTGGCAAGCAATGATAAACAGTCTTCGAGTCTGCTCTCGAGAGGGAATCACCTTGTTTAGTTTCCCTCTTTCTAAGAACATTTAAAATGAGCGGCTGCACCAAATTAATCAATGAATGAGATCAAACCAGATTATCATAAGCTTCGTGCTTAACTACTCAGGAAAAAAGCAAACATGCATGCGATCAACCAGTAATTTCCGGGTTAGCCAGGTAATTTAATTAAGTATTAAAACAAAACAATGCAAACACCGAACCTTCCAACAGACGAAGTTGAAAATAAATGGATATACACAAATCAGATATGAATAAAACCCCGAATTATTCGGGTTGCAAAACGTTCAATAGGAAGTAAAAAGGATGTGCCAATATAAAAATCAAATTCACCCTCAAAAAGGGGTTTAAACAAACAACGAGGACGTCAAAAATGCAAACAATCAAATATATGAAAAATATTATCCAACGGGAAAAAAGATGAAAACAAACAAAACACAAGAAACTAACCGTAAGAAGTAACAGCAGTCGACGCAGTAGAGGAGAGAGCGATGGAAACTGGAGAAGCGATTATGGACGAGGTAAACCATGGAGACGCAGATGAAATATTTACAGGAGACGACGGAGGGAGGGTGACAGAAAACGAACTAGATGCAGAATAAGCGTGCGAGAGAACCGACGACGAAAAGACAATGGGTCGGTAAGCATTCGTCGGAAAAATAGACGAATCAGATTGTGTGGTATCTGCCTTTCGAGAGACCGCGCTTGAGTGTTCAGCACTGGTCGTAGTTGTGTCTGTTGCAGCATCTGATTCTGATGTTGATGTGGACTTGGATGTTGATGTTGATTTTGATGTTGACGCTGTGCTTGATGCTGATGCTGATGCTGATGCTGATGCTAATGCTGTGGCTATTGGAGCAGTTGATGTTCCCGTGCTTGTTCCTGCTGTGAACTTCAAACTAGTACTGCTGATTGGTGTGCTCTTGCCCGCGATCGTCCAACTGCTCGTCTCTCCGCTTGTCCTCGTGCTTATCACTGGACTAGTGCTTGTGCTTGTAGTTGTGCTTCTGCTCCCGCTTTTGCTTGTGTTTGTGCTTGCGCTTGTGCCACTGCTCGCGCTCACCATCGCGCTCGTGCTCGTGTTCGCGCTCGTGCTCGTGGCTGTGCCCGTGCTTGTTGTTCTCCCTGTCGTTGTAGTTGTAGTTGTTGGTGTGTTTGTGCTCGTCGTCGGAATTGTCCTATCCGTGCTGCTCGTGTTCGCGCTTGTGCTCGTGTCAGGCGATTGCGATTGTGGGATATCATTTGTTGGTGAATTTGTTACGTCCGGTGTTGATGCCTTTCCTGCGGTTTGTGTTGTTTCCTTGTTTTTTGAATCTGAAATTTTTAATTGTTTTTCGATTCATTTTGATTCATTTGGTTTATCCTCGTCTTCTTTTCATTTTTTCTTGGTTCCTTTTCGTTTTTCTTCTCATCGAGGCGTGTTTATTTCTCTTTTAATTCCATATGTTTTTAGGTTTTTATACGTTGGTGTTATTTTTCCCCTACATGTTTATTCTGTTCGGTCATTTCAGGCGTTCACTTTTTTCCCATCACTGGCAATTGGCTTTTATCTTCTTCTTCTACGGACTGCGTAATGAATGGTTCTTTTTTCATTTTACCAAGGGAAATATATTTTGAATGTACGTTTTTATCTTAGGTTTCATTCCCTGCAGTCAAGTTTAAAGCTTGCACGGTTCACATAACTCTAATGTCCGGACTAGGGCCCACTGTGTCCTTGCAATCATGACGTGGATTGAAATCTGGCTTTTATTCTTTAATCACATCATTTAGTAGTAGAATAGTATCAGTTATTATTTTAATTCAATATATATCATTGATAAATCTACGCCGTCATGTTTCCTTCTTCGTGAAAATTGTACGAGTGTATGCTCAATAAAAGGAAGTCAAAATGAAAATAATAAAATCTTATGAAATCAGATCGGTAATTGCTCTTCTTGTCAGCTTCAAGTTTGGTTTCACTCTGTTTCGAATGCACGTAAAGACTTGTGTGTGTTGCTACTTCGTTCAGCATTAGACATTACAGTTTGCCTTCAAATAATATTGAATATATCTTTTAATAAAATTATTGAGGAATCACTTCTCTGACGTGACACGAGTGAAAAATATGTAAATATGGTTTGAGTCTGTTTTGAATCTTACGTCTATATCACTGATCAT